ACAATGGGGTCGACGATGAGCGGGTAGCGACCCGGTCTGGCGATATGGGAAGGATGGTCCCTCTGATCAAAAGTGATCGAAGATTCTGACCAGCTAAGGAAAGAGGGGATGGCCATTTCAGCGACGCATGCCTCTCTGTAGCGCACTTTGTGCTGGTGCTTGGAGTAGATGGCATTGGATCCCCTGAAGATCATGAGGCATTCCTCGGGATTGGGAAAGCCATCCCCATCCTTGCTCGTCACGCCTCCTTTCTTGGCCACTGCCTCCTTGCCTTTTCCTTCTTTTGGTCCACCGTCCTGTCGTAGAAAGCGCTTGAGGAGTTCATAGTCCTTGTAGAGGTGCTTGATGGGGTAGGCGTGGTTGGTGCATGGGCTCTCCATAAGCTGGTCGAAGTGGTCAGTCTAGCCCTGCTGGGGCTGCTTGCCCGCACGATCGGTCGCGGCGACCAAAGCAGAGTTAGCCGGGCGTCGCCGATCCTTCTTGTTCTTTTTGCCCCTTTGCGTGGAGGGGCCCTCGTCTTGGTCCTCGCACTTGGCCTTGCCCTTGTCTCGGCATCCACTAAATACCGCTTCGACTGCCTCCTCGTCGGAGGCGTGGTTCATGGCGACGTCGAGCAGGTCACGGGTGGTATAGGGCTTCAGACAGCCGAGCTTGTGGATCAAGGACTCACAGGTTGTCCCAGAGAGGAACACGCTGATGACATCCGCATCAACGACATCAGGAAGGGAGTTGCATCATTTTGAGCACCTACGGATGTAATCCCGCAGGTACTCGTTGGGCTCCTATTGGTAGCTCTTGAGGTCCCAGGAATTCCTAGGACAGACATACGTCCCCTAGAAATTCCCGATGAAGATCCTCTTGAGATCTGCCCAGTCACGGATGCTGTCAGGCGGGAGGAATTCGAGCCATGCTCGAACGTGCTCCCCCACGTAGATGGGGAGGTATTGAATGACGAAGTGGTCATCATCCACTCCTCTGACTCAATAGACGAGCCTGAAGTCTTCGAGCCATATACCAGGATTCATTTCCCTGGTGTATTTGGTGATGTTGGTAGGTGGTCGAAAGCGCTGTGGGAACGACGCTTTCTGGATGCGACGGCCAAAGGCCCGTGGTCCCTGGCCGTTCGGGCTAGGACTCCGGTCGTTCGGTCGGTGACCATGTCTAGGGTGCGTTTCCCCACTCCCCTCGATGGTCCGGCCGGGGTCCATGCCGCCTGCTCTCACCGCCCCATGATGGACGTCATCATCACGCTGGGCTTGACGTCGATTGTTGATGATGCTACGAGCGTCTCGGTTCAGCCTGAGCCGTTCGCGCATGGATGATCGGTGTGGAGCGGGCACCGGGTCAGGCCATGGTGCAGCTGTGGCCTCTTGTTCCACACCCGGCGCCTATAGTGGTGAGCGGATGGAGCGATTCGACTGGTGCACCACCATTCACTCGGTAGGGAAAGAGGCCGTGAGCCGGTGCCGCGACGCGGAGCTCTCCGCCTGTTGAACGGCGGCGGTTTCCACCAGCGCCCGGAGGTTCCGGTGGATCGCCTGCTCTTAGGGGTCGACAGGCTCAGGAAGGCCACGCAGAAGCATCGCCGCAGCGGTGATGTTCTGGCCAGCCCGGGCGAGCTATGGGGGATCATTTCCTCCATCCATGATGTTGCGCTGGACCTAATGGTCGCGTCCCCGGGCGTCGCTCGCCGGGTTACGCGCGTGTGGCGCAGCGTGCTGCGCTAAGTGCGCCGGCGTAGGTGGCGGCTGGCTCTGCCGCCTTCATCATAACTCCTCGCCATGCTCCTACGCACGCACGAGGGCCTCTGCACGAGGGTCCAAAGGGGTGTGAGTCTGTAGAGACTCCGCTATCACCAGTGGCTGTCCTGAAGCGTCCGCCATAGCGCACTCTCGGGATAGAGGGTGGCTAGGTGCCACGACGTTGTCGATGCTGGAGCCATCGCTTTCAACCTCGTCATCCACGAGGTCATGGAAAGAGGCAGGAGCGTAGCCCGCCATCCCCATGAATTCAGATGTGAGACGGGGCAGCATCAGCATCTTTCGGAGCCCCTACGCATACACGTCCACGGGGGAGGCGAGGCCGTAGGATAACTGGTTGCACAGCGGTTGCGGTGAGGACAACGGGGTCCCTCCAGAGAGTCAGCGGAAGATATCAAATAGCGAGTAAAGAATAATATGTACGTTACTCACAGTGGGGTTTGAGCCCAGCGTGGGCTCAGAGCGAAGCACGGGCGTCTCGTCGTTGAGGTCGCCGGGTGGCCCAGAGCCGATGGAAGGCGCTTCTCCTCCGATGGGCGCTGGGACAAGTGCCTTCTCGCAATGGGGAAGCACGCCGAGCTGGTCGGCGATGAAGTCCAGGCTTCTAAAGAGAAAGGTCTGGGATGGCTCGAAGACGGGAGGAATCCACATCCCAATAGGTGGGAGCGTGGGAAACTCCAACGAGCCGAAGCGACGGACAGCGCCAAGATGTCGGAAAGGTGGGCCATCCGATGATTAAAAGCGTGAACGTACGGTGTTCTCCCCACGGACAGCGCCAACTGTCGGTGCGAAAAGTGACCAACAAGTAAATATTTATAGTTTTGCTGTACGTTGTGATTGGATGTGGCCTAGCACTCAATGAAACAGGGTTTATACTAGTTCAGCCAATGTGACCTACGTCCAGTTTCAGTCGGTCGGTGACTTTATTCCTGAGCCCAGGTGCTCGAAGTTTGTTGTGGGGTTACAAATGAGTGGGAATAAGATGGGGGTGTTAGAGGTCCGGTCGGATTCTGGACCGAAAGGCCAAGAGTGACGGGAGCTCCTACATGCGCTAAGTATTGGAACGTATGCTCTGTGCAGCTTTAGAGTTCTAGAGCCGTGGAGCTGTTTGAGTGCTCAGAATGTCTGAAGCTTAGTAGAGTGAGAGTCAGAATGACCGTCCTTTTAGGAGAGAGCGCATCCCCTTTTATAGGTGAAGGAGACGACCTTACAAGTTAGGAGAGAGAGAGAGAGAGAGTATGTGTTTTCTAGTCTTGTTGCCCATGTCGTCGGGTACAAGACAGTTTGTCGGAACCCACAATACTGTTGATGCCCATATGCATGTGGCAGGCTCCATCGTGTTCTTCTGGTATGGCAAATGTCAGCGCCTACCATACTGTAGGACAAATGTCGGCGTCCACAACACTATTCGTGTTCTGACATGTCTGGAAGGTTGCAAAGTACCCTTCTGGCATGGCCTGACAGTACTGTCCTGCGGGTGTGTAGGGTACGGTCCTCGGTATTGCGGTTGACTTGAGCGCCTTACCTTATCTACTCCGCCTGATTTCTTGGGTCCTCATCGAGCAGGCGTCCCCGGCCGGTCGTTCCCAGTCGGCTCCGACCACGCCGGTCGGAGAAGAGCCGTAAGCAAAGGTTCGGTGTATTCCCGGTCGGAGAACCGGGTTGGAGTCGGAAGCGAGCGTCGTCCCCTCCTTGGCCAGGCCTTCTGATCGAAAAAGCGGGTCGGAGTCGGAAGCGAGTGTCGTCCCCTCCTTGGCCAGGCCTTCCGGTCGGAGACTGGATCGCTCTTCCGCCCTATCGTTAGGTATCTGGGCCGGCCCAGGAGTTGCGCGTCGTTTGTAATGCCGTCTGCTGGGCCGAGCTTTTGCTGGAAGCGGGCCTATTAGGGAACCCGGATTTATGAATCTGACACATATGTTTATAGAAAGTCCTTGTTGGTCTTACTATGTTGCCATACAAAGCGGGTTTCGGGTATCCATTCAGGTTTCGGGTATTCGTGGGTTTGGTTTTGAGGGCGGATTATCACATGAAACGGTGTTCTGTGCGGTTTAGGTTTTCGATTTTGGGTTCGGGTGCATAGAGACTCCACCCGATCCGAATCCGCCCCATTGCCATCCCTACCGGTGAGCAGTGCCCTGCCGCGGTGGAGGCGGCTGCAGTAGTTGGGCGGGTGTGGCCTCGCGCGGCGAGGCGACAGCGGCTGTGTGGTCGCGGGGGAGCATGCCGCTGCGGTGATGGTGCGGCGGCGGTGGAGAGGAAAGACAGTGGAAGGTGCGGTGGAGAGGAGGGCGGGCGAGAGGCATGACGGAGCGCAGTCGCGGTGCTGCGTCAGTTTTTTCAGAAACTGCGGAGCCTTTTGGTCGTCGAGGCCCACCAACATGGGCATCCGGGCTGGTGGACGCCCGCTTACCAACATTACCGATAGAATTTTTTTTCTATATTTCTAGTATGGTGTCTGAATTTTAAGTTGATTTTAGATGATAATCTTACATACAACTAAATACATAACTCACAAGAAATAATTTATAATGTTGTTTATCTATACTATAAAAGAGCGAAGGAATTGTAAAATAGTTGTCACATAAAAGTTTCCTACTGCTCTATATCTAGACCCTTGAAAAACTAAGCATCTTTAAATCTGACAGTGTACCTTAATCAAATTGTGGATCATCTACCATCTCATCTTACGGTCTCTGTAAGACACCTTACACGTTCCTGCCTTTTAAAAGGACAGAACACCTTCTCCTCTCGTGATTTTTTTCCACTCACCTCTCAACGTACCCGCTCCTGTACCCGCCGTCATGATTCACTCCTCTCTTGCCTTTCCTTGCTTGCGCCGGAGTCCACGCTTCGCACGCACGGACACCTCCAGGATAGATCACGCCATACGAACATACGCTTCGCACGCACGGTCACCTCCAGGCTAGATCACGCCGCACGAACATAATCCACACACCGCCGAATCTTGATGATCGCCCCGGGCTCGCCTATGCCGCGGCCTCCTCTCCCTCCCTGCCGAGAAGCCGCGCCGCCGCCGCAAGCCCGTTCCGCCGCCGAAAAGTTGTTCGCACCCGCGCCGTCGGCTTCGCTCCGCCCTGATCCGCGGCCGACGGACCGCCGAGAAGGACCTCATCGCACACGCACCGTCGGCCTCGCCGTCCGAGCCCGCGCCGTCGATTGCCTCCCCAGCCTCCTTCACCAGGCCCTTCAAGATCCAGCATCGGACGTGCCTTGCCAGCCATGGCGACCACCCTTCCAGATCCCTGGCAGACGCATCGCTCACATCTTCCCCATCGAAAAGGGCAGCGATGGCTCCTCCCCTTTGCTCCGCTGCAGTTCGCTACCTACTCTAATAGTAAATCACAAGAGTACAGGCAAAGGACAAACAAATTACAGAGATGTTCCTAAATGTTGCAGGGGCGAGTTTGTGAACTGCACACCACTCCTCTTCAGGTTTAACGAAGAAGGTATGCGATTCTTCTGGTTCTTGAGTGTTCGTGATATAATACATGTTGGCATGTCATGGTTTATAAGACTTAAAATTACCAAAGTTACAAAACAAAACAACTATCGGATGTCCAATGTATGCACGGGGATTATTACATATTAGGATATACCTTAAAAACTCAGCTCCCAAAATTGAAATGCACAAAGATTTTCAATTTGTACACTGCCACACTCATGACACATGGCAAGAAGCAGATATGAGTAGCTGGGGAGCTAGAGTCAGTATCCCCAGCTAAAATTGTTCTAAAATTTCCCTGACAGTGTATTTGTCTGAAACTTGGTCTTAAAACCGTATTCCATATCATTTTCCTTGGGTGCCATGTGGCATCTTGTCTAACCTCAGATTTAATAATTGTTTTTGTTCCCTTTCAGCTGAGCAAAAAAGGACCATTTGATCCTGAAGGCGCTGCTTCTCACAGTAGCATGGGATCAGTCAAGAGGTAACGGCTGAATCATGTCCAGATTTAATTATTACCTTGTTTTGGCTGCACTGAACTTTCAAAGGTAGATGTAAAAGAAGAAAGAGTCATCAGTTCCAAAGCCAGCATGTTGTTTAGCTTTTTTAGAGATCAACAAGACAACAACTTATTTATGTTTGTCATTTACAGATTGCAGCGGGTCCTTCGAGATGATTTGACAAGGAGCAAGACCTTTTGCCTAGCCTTTTCGTATCAAATCAATTATGCATCATTAACAAAGTTATTCTTGGGCGTCCGTCTTAGTTAATTAACAGAGGCGGCCATGGCTCCTACCTTTAGAAAATGGCTAATTAATAGCGACGGAAGCCGTGCCCAACTCTAGAAATCCAAAATGGCTGCATCTGAAGACCATTTCAGTAGTAGTGAACATTTCATTTTTTTTTAAATATCTTTTTCAGATGGTTAACGTTATTGAGCCGCCTCTAGATATTAATTAACACAGGCAACTTTGTTACACAAACCACCAGTATAAACATTAGCACTAGCGGTTAACCTAAGTATTTCGCCAATGTAAATTTGTTTACACAAGCGGCATCGTTATGCCAATAATAACCGGTGTAAATAGATCTACACTAGCAGTTCTCAAGCATACGCCAATGGAGCATCATCATTTTCATTATCTTTCATGCTAGTGGTTCACAAAACCGTCTATATATACCAGTAAAACTCATTTCTATAGAGAGAATTCCCTATGTACCCCTAGAAAAAGTGGTTGTCCCTTCTGTGTCCTCGAAATAATCGTTCAGACTCCTATGCCCGCTTTAAAAGTTAATGGCCAGCTGACGGATAGGGCATTCATTATCTTTCATGCTGGTGGTTCACAAAACCGCCTGTAAATAAAGATACAAAAACTACCGCCCAGTAAAACCCATTTCTATATAGAGAATTCCCTATGTACCCCTAGAAAAAGTGGTTGCCCCTTCTGTGCCCTCGAAATAATCGTTTGGGCTCCTATACCCGCTTTAAAAGTTAATGCCAACTGACGGAAAGGGCACCAAAGGGAAGAAAAAAATTAGAGCGGGCATAGAAGTCCCAATTGGCTGAAAGGGACTTATAATTACAATTGGCTGAATTATAACATATTGATATATTGAGTTATACAAAACTAGTAGTAAATGAAGAGTTGATGTTATGTCTCAAAGATAGAGAGAATTTAGTAAGGACTAATTAAGAAACAAAAAAGGTGGCAAAACACAAAGATGCACTAAACAAATTCCAAAATCGGTCTTCTATTTGAATGTACTTCTGAGAAGTTAAGGAAGCTATAAATGCAAGCTAAACATATTCAGTAGTGCAATAGAAGTTTTCCATTTGAGCATATATCCATTTTTGATAAATACAAGAAACTATAAATGCGAGCCAACATATGTGAGGGACAAAAAAAAGCATTCCACTAGTTCGATTGATTTCCATATGCATGCCTTATTTACAAGCTAGGCTCGACTACATATAGAGGGGTCCAACTTCCATCCACCACAATACCCTCCCATCCACATAGATCCACAAAAAGAGAAGAAGAAAATTCATAAGCTAGCCATGGCTAGTAGCAAGAATAATATCATCAGAGCGACCACATCACCAATTGTGGTCGTGGTGGCAATGACACTACTGACCACACTTTTGATGATGGAGGCAGATGCACAGCCATACGATGACTCGGCAATACCACCTGGCATGGTTGGGGATTTGCTGCCATGGGGGAGAGTACCACCCTCTGGGCCTAGCCATCCGCCGCCCTTGGTGGCGATGCCACCACCATATTTAACACCACCTGTCGGACCTAGGAAGCCTCCTTCCATGGTGGCGCTGCCACCTGACGGGGTTGGGGATTTGCTACCACGAGGAAGAGTACCACCCTCCGGGCCTAGCCATCCGCCACCCTTGGTGGCAATGCCACCACAATGGAGGATACCACCCTATGGGCCTAGCAAATCACCGCCTTCTGGGCATAGAAAGTCACCACCCTCTGGGCATAGAAGGTCACCGTCCACACCACCATGGAGGAGACTACCACCCTCTGGACCAAGCAAGCCACCGTCCATGGAGGAAATGATCGACCATAGTAATCATGTGCTCGGTGTGAATGAAAAGTTTGTTGGTAATGGAGGGATGAATACACAAGGATGATGCGGTGTAACTTATAAGCAAGAACCTAAATAATAAGAGCATCTGGGTTGTTTATTTTCATTGAGTTCATGCATATGGTCAAGGAAAGATTCTCTTCTGAGCGCAAATGTCACCTTTGCTTCAAAGATGAAGTGGCCTACAATAACCTTCAGATAACCTCATCTCGACCTTGTGTTGTAAGATCCTCTAGTTTCTTGCAAACTGACTACAAACAAACAACGCCTATCACTAATAGGCCTGCGAGAAGGTGTAGACAGGTCATGTCCAGGACTGCCTTTGCAAGTCATTTTTTTGGCAACATGGTCCGTATCTAGGAAAATATTTTTTGAAAAAAATTGAAAAACAACCATAAAAAAGTATTTTTTATATTATAAGAGAAACGCGCGGCTATAGATTTGAACTTCCAACCTCAAGCCTCACGCAAGCCCCCCTCTACTACTACGTGACAAAGTGTGGGACGTTATTTTTCTATTGACTTTTACAAATCTTGCAGCACATATTTTGATACATAAATTGTTACCCCCGATTTTAAGGACAAAATCGGATAAAGAATCCTATGTGTGTCCAGAAATCAATCACACACATAAGATGACAAATTACATTATATCAAGCTCAGAGTTTATTACATATCGAATGATAATCCATACATTGGAACAAATAAATTATCAAAGTAGTGGAAACTCAAATCTAATCTTCATGTGAGGGCTCCAAGCGCCACAGGGACGGTTGACTGGTGAACCACAAGTCCAGTAATCCTTAGGAAACTCATCATAAGCGCCATAAACTGTTACCCATCTAGGATTTTTATCTAAGTAATAAAAATAAACAAGCATAAGTACATCTCGTACTTAACAAATATAACATGGGTTCATGAGGCTCAAAAAGGTTGAGACACGGGTTTACTGCAATTAGCTTTTTAATGAGTCAAATTTTAGCATTAGTAGCAATAAGTTTAGCAATGCCCCAATTAATCACATGAAACTAATAACATGAATAATGAGATAGCATTTAAAAACATCGTCGATCATTTGTCATTATTCCATAAGGAGTCCAGGCCGCTCGTGTTCGTGAGTACGGCTGTTATAACGGTTTTTAACATTCTGCAGAGGTTGTACATCTTTACCCATGAGCCGTGATTTACCCTTTCGCCTAAGGTAGCTAATCTCTTGACCCACTACCAAGGAAAGGTCGGTAGGGTTCACTATGAAGTCTTTCAAAGGTTCGTCTAACAAGTTAGGGCCGCTAGGTTTTCGTGGTAAGGTGTAGGAACCTCCCTTTTCAAATGGCACAATTCCTTCTCATCTATACTTATAAGAACAGAGGCTGTCCTATACCCATATTGTCACGCCCCTTTTGCGCCCTTTCGGGTAACCACTAACAAGCTAGAAAATATCCTCATACCTTACTAAAGTTAGAGCCATATAGTACTCATGGTTGTACTGTAAGTACTAGGTGATCACTTACAGATAAGTTCTTAGGAGGACAAGAGCATCATGTATAAGAGCAAATGCTCTCACCCTTTAATTCATCTTGCTAAAAGCATCTTTTATTTTCCGTTGCATATTCCATTAATCAAGTTACAGTTCATGATCATAATTAATTGAGCACTAGCATCAGCTACCCATATGCAAATTTTCCCAAGGTGTCAAGGAATCAGGATATCAAAATAACTAGGATAAATTTCTATGGGTATCAAGGTAGACACATGCATATGATTAAATGTTATTAAGGTGAATAGAACAACAAAGATGATCTCATACTATACTTGCCTTGCTCAGAGTTTCCTTGCTGGTCTTGGTCTTCAAAATATTGATCCTGCTCACCAAGGTACTGCTCACCGTCTATACTCAATTATATATCAACATACAAGCGTCCACAGGCAATCATGCACGAAGCAAACAAGAATTATAATTAGAACAGTACACCAATAGTGGAAAAAGATGTTTAAAAGTTTGTAAAATTGTTCTACACGTCGCTATGAACACGTAGACGTGAATTGCACTCAAATCAGATTTAAAATAGAAAAGATATGATGATTTAAAGCTCTGGACGGCAGTTTTATAAATATTGCGAACTAATTTTGAATTAAAATAAATCAAAACTGAATTTAAAACCGGCGAGGGACAGTAGGCATAAATGATGAAAAGCTTAGGGGGCTGGGAGCAAAATATGCTGCGGCTGACAAGCGGGGTCATCTGGACCGCGGGTTGATTACAGTAAAGGAAGGGTCTCTTTAGCAAAATTGCCACGGCGAAGAGGTATGGCGTGATCTTGGCCGCTGATCTGGAGACGGGCGGCTGAGATTAGAAGGGCGAGGGAGAGAGCGAAACCGGCCGGCCAGAACAGGGTGGCTGGCGCGGCGCGGCCATTACCGGTGGCGAAAGACTCGCCGGCGAGAGTGGAAAATGGCCTACGGGCCACGGGAGCCTTCGGGGATAGGCGCAAACGGAGGAGGAGCTTACCTCGGATCCAACAGCGGGGGTTCTCGTGGCCGGAGGCGGACCGGAGAGGGGGATTGGGCGGCGGAGGCGAGCAGCTCGGCTTGGAGCTCCGGCGAGCTCGAAGGACCTCACAACGGTCACGGATTTGCGTCGCGGAGTTCCTTAGCGGGCGCGGCTCGTCACTGCGAAGCCGTGGGAGCAAAACGAGATGAGGGAGGTGGCTGGACTCAGGAGGTCGACGGCGGCGGATTGGTTTGCGGCGGCGCTGCGGCTGGTGGCGCTGTAGGGCGAGAGAGAGCGCGGGCGAGGTCGAGTGGAGGTGGAGCGAGTCCACGAGGCCACGGGCCACTGAAGTGAGCAGAGGAGTGGGAGGGACGAGCGGAGGAGCTTGGTCGCGATCTCGGCTCCATGCCGGCGGATTCGGCGCGCACGGGACGAGGTCGCGGCGGCTGCGGTTGGCGCGCGGGTGCGGTGGACGCGGAAGGGCTTAGCCCGCGGCCTGGCTTGGTCGGAGTGCTCGGTCCTCGCGGACGAGCGGCCATGGCGGATCGGGATAGTGAAGAGGGAGCCGGAGGTAGAGGAAAGCGCCGACAGGTGGGACCCAGACGTCGGTGAGAGAGACGCGGGGCCGAGCCGTCAGCTGCACAGAGAGAGGGAGGGAGCTGAGGCGTGTTGGGCCTCAGTTCTTGCTGGGCCGGCGGAATGGAGGGAGAGAGCGCCCACGCGGGCTGCGCTTCTGCTTCGGAAGTGGGCTTCGGCCCAGGGAATGAAGGAGAGCGTGGGGAGAGGAGTGGGCTGCGGGAGCTGCCGGCTGGGCCTGCAGGCCGGATTGGGAGAGAGGGAAAAACAGGGAAAGGAATCCCCTTTTCTTTTTCCTAAACAAATTTTCAAAGATGTTTTCAATTAGATTTTGAATCCTTTTCAGTTTTGGTCAAAATCACACAATACAAAAACTCAAATGCACCAGCATGAATGCAGAAACATGTGTCTAGCCTTATGATTGATTTTAATTAAGCAAAAATTTATTATTTCCTACATTTGAATGCACATATAATTGCATAATTAAATCAATTTAATCTATTTTTGAAAAGAGGCAAAATTTAGGATGTTACATAAAATTTTTAAATTAAAAATAGTAAAATATGAATTTTTGAATCTCATCAAGTATAGCATGTCTCTCCATCCGAGGTCATTTGAAAAATAAAAAAGTGATTTTGAAATCTCGAGAACTTAAGACATAACTCCAAGATACTAAATAATTTCAAATGGATCAACTACAAAAATTGTAGATATTTTTTAGTTCTACAACCTTGATAAAGTTTGTCTTCATCGACTTGACTTCAAAAATTATGATTTTTTATACTGCACCTATTTTTAGAGGCGAGCTACATTATTAACCGTCTCTAGAAATCGATTCCTAAATGTACATGGTATTTTCAACCGCCTATAGAAATGTCTTTGTTTTTAGAAGTGGTTGGAAACTCTAACCTCTTCTAGAAATAAGATTTCTAGAGACACCTGGTATTGTCAATTGTATCTGAACATAGAGGACATTTCTAAGGGCGCGCGAAAAAACATGAACCGTTGAAAGGTCCTAATGACTAGAGGGGAGGGTGAATAACCTATTAAAATTTTCTATAATAACACTTAACAAACCGGTTAGACAATTATGAGGCGAAGTAAGTGTTGCGCTAGCCTACCAAAAATGCAAGCCACCTATCACAATTTTAGTTTCTATTGTCTCTAACCACACAATAGCTATGGCACTATACTAAGTTAGTGTGCTCTCAAAGACTAACTAAAGAGCCACACTAACCAAACTAATAAGCTCTCACAACTAGCTACACTAAAGAGCTTGATAACTAGTTTGCGGTAATGTAAAGAGAGAGAGCAAGATAGTTATACCGCCGTGTCGAGAAGTGAACCAATCAATCACAAGAATCAATATCAATGAAGACCAATCAACTCGGAATCAAATGATGAACACAATGATTTTTTATCGAGGTTCACTTGCTTGTCGGTAAGCTACTCCTCGTTGTGGTGATTCACTCACTTGGAAGTTCACGCGCTAATTGGCATCACACGCCAAACCCTCAATAGGGTGCTGCACAACCAACACAAGATAAGGATCACACAAGTCACGAGCAATTCACTAGAGTACCTTTTGGCTCTCCACCGGGGAACGGTCAAGAACTCCTCACAATCACCACGATCGGAGCCGGAGACAATCACCAAACTCCGCTCAACGATCCTCGCTTATCCAAGCCGTCTACATGGCGGCAACCACCAAGAGTAACAAGCAAACCCCGCAGCGAAACACGAACACCAAGTGCCTCTAGATGCAAACACTCATGCAATACACTTGGATTCTCTTCCAATCTCACAAAGATGATGAATCAATGATGGAGATGAGTGGGAGGGCTTTGGCTAAGCTAACAAGGTTGCTATGTCAATGCAAATCGCCAAGAAAGTAAGCTTGAACCGGCCATGGGGCTTAAATAGAAGCCCCCATGAAATAGAGCCGTTGTACCCCTTCACTGGGCACAACACGGGGTGATC